ATCAGAATGTCCTGATTTTTTCTGAGTGACTAGATGGGGTGTCCTGCTATCACCCTGAAGTGAAATGAGTCTTTGATACTGGACAGTTTTTGTTTTATTCTCATCTAAACACAGAGGGATGATTTGTTTTGACTCTACCGTAATGCATAGGATTTTCCCGCCGCGCAATATCACGTGCGGGCTGGCTTGACTAGGTTTTCACTAGTGGAGGCTGGCTTGACCGCAGTCAGAGAGTAGAGTAGTTGTCGATTCTTGTTCTGTTTTCTGTGACTATCTGCCTCACCCTCTCAGACTTTCAGTTGCGCGCTAATAAAGAGACGTGTTACCATGGAAACCAAACAATGGTGAAGCTGTATTAAAGTCTTAAAGTATTAAAGTCTGGCACACACACGCACACACACACAGAACAATTTGACACATTTCCCGCTCTTATGTGCCCATCCCCCCACATGGATCACACCTGGCACACGCAATACATGTTCAGTGTCTATTCTTTGTATATTTACTTCAGTTTTTCATGTATACCAGTAGTCTGATACAATATTTATAGTTTGAAAGGGTGTTAAATGGAATTTGGTGGTGATTAATGTTTTTTTTAATAGCAGTTAAAACAGGACCGGTCAAATTTGACAGTGAACACCAAAGTAAGGGGGGGGAAACGAAGACAATAGGAGGGTTAAAGGGGCCCTATTATTTTTTTTCGGGGGTTTCTCCTTTCCTGTAATGTGTTTTATATATTTGTATGCATGTAAATGGTCTCAAAGGTTAAAACTCCAGTGGGAATGTCTCTCCCACACACTTGTTTACACAAAATACAAACGTGAAATGAGCATAATAGGGCTCCTTTAAGGGGTAGGAATAACCACCCAACGGCTTTATTTCTGAACTTTCTATGATTTCTAGAAGTTTCGATTAAATCACATGATCTTTAACTGCAATTAGAGTGTTCATGAAATTGTCAGAAAGTATTAAAAACTGCTGATGGAAAAATAGATATGACAAATTGAATCACCCATGCTTTTAAAAAGGATGAGATGTGATCAAAAGCTCCAGATGAATTATTTTATGGACCTCACAATGAACTGCTTTGAACTGCTTTTTTTTTTTAAAGGTTAAAAAAGGACCTCTTTTGATAAAGTTGCTCCAATGTGCATTTGCTTTCTTAAATAAGCAGTATTCTATTTATTCCTTTATGGATTTACACGTTTTGTTTCAAATATCCAGGACCATTTGCTTTGTAAAAAGAAGAGTAAGGCCAATTGAATGGTGCTATCAACCATCAAAAGTCTGTTTTTTATTGCAGAATGTATTTATAGTTGACCTCAAGTAATTCATATGACGTTGCCTGGTGGTTTTCTGCTATAAATAAAGCCTCGATCTGTCTGCCGCAATGAGAAATGTCCCTTGTGCTGTGAATAGTCCAAACAGTCGCGTTAATGTGCTGAAGATTTATAGACGCTCTTGCCCTCAGACACGCTCCCCTGACCACACACAGGCAAATAGTCAAAGAAAAAAATGTATCTGGCCCAAAAACACTTAAGGTAAAATAAACTGTGTGTGACCGCAGACCTCACCCTACTCTAACTCTACGTTCAGCACCTTAAATGGGAAGGGGTGCAACACAGAGTTTACGCACAGCAGGCTTCTGTTTACATACACTGGGAGATTTTTACTCCAACCTCTGTATTGCTGCAGGTAGAAATGGGAAAAGATGTCACTAGTTTCTGTGTCACGGTGGTATGACGGATGATTTATCTTCATTGTATTCACTGCGGCTCTGCACCATGTTGGACCAGAGTCAATATTTGCGCTCATAATGGGCTGTTTTTTGTCACGCTTCTGTCTCAGAGTAATCCTGCAAGATTTAGCGGGGCACACACAGATGTAAAACCAAAAGCGTAGATTCCCTTGATGAGCTTAGGGACAGTTTCTGAGGCTTACTCTGCTCGTCCACTTACTTTCCATTTGTTCTGGACTGCGGCGGAGGCTCGAGCCAAGCTAAGCCGTCACCTGCACAGACTTAACATCTGCTCATTTGGCTTCACTTGCATCTTCACTTGTTTTAATAATGAGTTAAGAACCATTTCAGTGAGTGGCCTTTGGCAAGTTAACATACTAATCTAGTGGAACTGCTAATTGGAAATGAAGGGATGGAGTTCAACTTTTTAAATGTCCAATTGGTTGGATCTACTTTCTTATAGAAATACATATAAAATGGAAGGCTTACTTTCCTAATCATACTAAATCAAGCCTAGATGTATTGATTATTGACACGTTTTGACACAACATTGATATGTTATGGTGAACAAATATGCTAATTCACACCCATTAGACGTGGATTAACATTAGCGTCATTTGGAGTTGTGTTTCTGAGCACCTGGTGAATCTGAGTCTCAATATTTACACTCGTTTTGGCTCTGTTTATGTCTCCACCAACTCGTAAAAGTAATAAACAGATAAAGAGGCAGTTACTTTCTCACTTTGTCTGCCTTCTAACCAAAATAAAAATACACTTAAATACTAGGTGATCGGTGTCACTCATGATGATAATGAACCTACAGGGATTTAATTAAGAGTTCATTTAAAATATTGGTTTGTGCAGTTTTAAAGAAATGTCTGTTCTTTGTGTCCCCTCCTTATTGTAAAGTAATTATCTTTCTCTCGTCTTGGTTTCCTCAGATCTCTGGCTGGACCCCCTCAGATGCGTGTGATCCGAACCCCTGTGAGAACGAGGCCCAGTGCCACAGCATGGAGCAGGACTTCTACTGCGCCTGCCCCGAAGGCTTCGAGGGGAAAACCTGTGAGCGTCTGAAGGAGAACTGCCAGACCGCCCCGTGTCAAGGTGACTGAACTGTCTGCAAAGATATACCAGGACTGAACAAACTACTCAAAGAAAAGTTATGCATTTGAACTGTTTTTCTTTTTATCCTTCAGTGATTGACAGCTGCACTGTTGCTGTGGCAACCAACGACTCAGCCGGAGTGCGTCACATCTCCTCAAACGTCTGCGGGCCGAGAGGACGATGCATCAGCCAGCCCGCCGGAAACTTCTCCTGCTTCTGTGACCCGGGCTTCAGCGGCATCTACTGCCATGAGAGTACGTAGAGACTCTTGCTTTGAGATTTCTACCTCTTTTGTACACTATCATGCCGACAACTGAAACTAAAAATGTAGTTCTTCCTGCAAAGATTCCTAAAATGATTAACCCTTGTGTTGTGTTCAAAAGCTGTTACCGTTCATGGTGTTCGCAGGTCAATTTTGACCCATGATTTATTTCTGTCCAAAACACTCAAAAATAATGATTATCATCCAATATTGTTTTAACTACATCATATCTAACTTATAATGCATTCATAACCGTACAATCCTGTATGATCCAAAAAACATTACACAACATATTTAAGTAAAACATGTGATTCAATTCACTCATTATATTTCCTATAGCGAAGACAGTGGATCATTACGTTATCTGACTATA